CATTTCTAAGTAGCTTCACGGTTGAGTATCAATAATATCTTGTCAACACAGTTGTCTCTAAATAACCTCACAGTTGAGTATCAATAATATCGTATCAACACAGTTGTCTCTAAATAACCTTATGTTTGAGTATCAATAATATCGTGTCAACATAGTTATCTCTAAATAACCTCACGGTCGAGTATCAATAATATCATGTCAACACAGCCGTATTTAAATAACCTTACGTTCGAGTATCAATAATATCATGTCAACATAGTTGTCTCTAAATAACCTAACGGTCGAGTATCAATAATATCATGTCAACACAGTTGTCTCTAAATAACCTCACGGTCGAGTATCAATAATATCATGTCAACACAGCCGTAGCTAAGTAACCTTACGTTCGAGTATCAATAATATCATGTCAACACAGTTGCCTTTAAATAACCTCACGGTTGAGTATCAATAATATCATATCAGCACAGCCCTAAATATCCTCACGGTAGGGTATCAATAATATCGTGTTAACATAGCCATTTCTAAATAACCTCACGGTAGAAGTCAATAAATTTAATGACATAAGCGAAGCTACCAACAATAAAGATAAGAAAATTTCGACTGATCAAGCCATATGTTTTAATAGTTAGCTGAGGATCGACTGGTTAAGCCATTTGTTTCAAATGTTAACTGAGGATTTTTACCTAAAAAAATAGGATAAACATAAAACTAACTAGTCATTCCCAGATCTTGAACTACTGACTTATTCATTTAAACTTATATATTCGTACTCTAAACATTTGAAAAACACTAAACTAGATCATTAGAATTAGGACAGCAGAAACACGATTTCCTAATATCCAGTTACGTTTAAAACAAGGTATCTATGCTACAGAATTAACTTAATAGTACATTATATATTCTTTACAGTGTCTTAACGCATAAGATTAATGACATACTCGTGTAAACTCACCGTTGACAATTACCACAGCAGCGATTCCACACATACAGAGAAAAACTTTCCACATCTTGACCAATTTAAAACAATATTTTCTCTTCACCACAGTCGCACTATGTTCAAAATACTCAATGACAAATGCGTTCTATTCCTAACCCTTATAAATATTTTAATCCTGAAGAATTCTGGGAATGAAGCCAAACTTTGCTGTACAGGTACGAGTTAGTCTCATTAGCTTGCCAAAGTTATAAATTATTTCCGAGAAACTTCAGCGATACAAGTCCTTTCTTGGTTAAACTAGTTTATTCGTCCTCGATACAAACTTTTAGCACACACACAGTAATTTCACAATCAATACGTTTCTCGTCACTTTAAACTTAACTACTTTTATAATACACGTTATAAATCACAGCGATTCACAATCTCGATAGCTTCACACACACTAGCTCGAAACAGAATCGTAAATTACCAGGAACTCTCTTTATTCATCCTCGCAGGTTGTTGTTCTTGGCAGTTATTTTGATTTTAAAATAATAATCTCCTAAAAAATAATTATTAATCAAGGGTGCTCGAAGATTAAACAATCCTCCTTCACCCCGCGCGTGGTCTAGGAATATGGGCTTAACCTGAGAGAATAAGAAATTAATGCAGACAAGGTATGTAAGTTTAAAAAGGTAAACGTGAGAGTAACGGTAAAATAAAGTAAAAAATGAAGAGCAAAGTAGACTAAACTAAACGGCCGATGTCGGACAAATGGTCCATCAGGGCGGCGGGGATCTAAAAATCCTATCCCGAGAATTTATTGTGGGGGGGAGTACCCCGAGAAAACCCACTTTCACTGGTAACGACCAATTCGTTACCAGTGCCTGGTTAGTGAGAAGAAGTAAGTGGGGAAGGTAAAGTGAAGTCCGGTGATGGGGGCTTTCTCTGTCAGGCTTATATATTAAAGAAGGGGGTGTTTCGAATACAGCCGTGCCTCCACAATCATTCATGATCATTCGAGAAATTCATCACGTGTCACCAGGGTCACATGACTTCCGCTGTCGTAACACAACTGAGACTAAAACCACGGGTCTTTCCCGAGTAGGCACAATGTTGAAAATTAACCTGTAAAACGCCTGTTAACTTAACAGGCCGAGATGGATTCCGTGTTTAACTTTATTAACAAATAAGCTAAGTTAATGGATTGAAAAAGTTTGTCTACCAAGTAACTGGCATGTTGAGGTGTTACAAAAGGCTGTCGAGTTATCGAATGATATCTTTAGAGTTGATGTGTTAACAAAAACTGTCGAGTTATCGAGTGATATCTCCAGAGTTTGTGTTAAGAAAGGCTGTCAAGTTATCGAGTGATATCTGTAGAGTTGACACGTTAAGAAAGACTGACAGAATACTGAGTGGAACTGTGATTTAAAAATACTATTTTCACAAACCCATAATGTTATAAACACAACATAATAAAAACAATTTAAATAACTCTCTGTTCCAAGATCAAATACTAGGCGCTACAGAGAATCGTTCTTTGTTGTTGTTGTTTCAGTGATAGAATACAAGATTCTGGATTATTTAACAGCCTCTTTAACAGTTGTCAAATAATTCACAATCTTGTAAACTAGCATTTATATAACAAGTAGTGGTCTTAATATGACACCTTCACAGGGACGTAGGGCGCGTCCATAAGTTGGTCTTACAACAGAAAACTAGCTGCAACCATAATAGATAAAAAAGGTAAGATAACCATAAATTCCCGATTTTTGTAGACAGTGTCCACGTGAAGAATTTTTTTCCTGGGTAAAAAGTGCCCTCCAATTCGAAAAAAATCGCTCCGAAATACCATAAAAGTTTTATTTCTTGGATTTAGAGCCTCACCCCGGGGATCTGGGATAATGGCAACAACTACAATAAACAGTCACTAATATAACAGGCTTCTGTACTGCCTGGAACTGTAATTATGGTAACAACTACAGGACAGTCACTAATATAGCAGGTTATATTAGTGACTGTCCTGTAGTTGTTACCATAATTACAGATCCAGGCAGTACAGAAGCATGCTTCTGTACTGCCTGGATCTGTAATTATGGTAACAACTACAGGACAGTCACTAATATAACAGGCTTCTGTACTGCCTGGATCTGTAATTATGGTAACAACTACAGGACAGTCACTAATATAGCAGGCTTCTGTACTGCCTGGATATGTAATTATGGTAACAACTACAGGAAAGTCACTAATATAGCAGGCTTCTGTACTGCCTGGATCTGTAATTATGGTAACAACTACAGGACAGTCACTAATATAACAAGCTTCTGTACTGCCTGGATCTGTAATTATGGTAACAACTACAGGACAGTCACTAATATAACAAGCTTCTGTAC